ACTACCCTTCAACCCTTGACCCTACCTAGAGGTTCATGAATTCCTCAAGTAGGGTTTTAGTTGCACTACATAAGGTTCTACCAGGGTCGTCCTACTTATAACCTCACTTGTAACTACTCAAGTAATGGCAGCCCAGGCGCCGCATCCCGATGAATCCTCGCAGGCCTCCGAGCTCGAAGGCTCCGCCCCCGAGCAATCTGCCTGACGGGGCTTGGGGTTTAGGGTTTGGGGTTTAGGGTTTAGGGTTTAGGGTTTAGGGTTTGGGGTTTAGGGTTTAGGGTTTAGGGCTTCAGGGGCTTTGGCGGTTTTCAGGTTCATTAGGGCTTTGGAAAGTTTAGAGGGTTCGGGCACGCAAAGTTTGTAAAGGGGAGCTTTTGGGATGGAGGTTGAAAGCCCCTCACAGAAACCCTAAACCCTAAACCCGAAACCCTAAACCCTAAACCCTAAGCCCTACACGAGGAAGGGACGGATTCTCCTTCAGAGCCGACCATCGAAGAAGAAAGCGTTGCGCCTTCACTCCGCTCTCGCAGGAGACTGCTCGAACGACGTAGCCCGTGCCACACGAACTGGAGCAGGCTGACCTCGGGCGGCGCACTTCCGGAAAATCTGACACGAGCTCTAGCCCCACATTGCTGGTTTACGGATGATGGCTACCTAGCTCCACCTGAGCGACATGCACTTTCTAAACTTGCAATTAGCTGCTAAGGGTCGAGTTCCAAGAAACGATACATAGACCTCTGCCTAAACCCTAAACCCTAAACCCTAAACCCTAAACCCTAAACCCTAAACCCGTACTACCGAGCCTCGTACAACCTTCCTTTTCGCAGCTCTCCGGTGCAACGTGCTCTTGAGGCGAGAGGGTTCACCATGCACCGGAAGATAATCCACGTCAGACTACGGGGGTATGTGTTAGGGTTTAGGGTTTCGGGTTTAGGGTTTAGGGTTTAGGGTTTAGGGCTGTCCCTAAACCCTAAACCCTAAATCCTAAACCCTAAACCCTAAACCCTAAACCGTAAACCGTATTTTGAGCACCAGAATGCCAGCGTGACGGTAACACGTGAGGCGAAACTCAGCCCAACGCCAAGAGGACACCGACCACTGGCATCCGGAGATCTGTCATCAGCAACAGCGATCATGGGACCCGTCCCCTAAACCCTAAACCCTGAACCCTAAACCCTAAACCCTAAACCCTTGAACCCCAAAGCCCTAACCCTAAACCCGAAACCTAAACCCAGGTGTACTTCGTCTTCCAAATGTGGCGGCGGCACATTGTGGCATGACTCCAGGCTGGCCGGTTGAAGCAGCAAGTCACAATCTGCAAGGATGCCTGTATGCGCAGCAAAATGATGAGGGTCATTCGGTTTGATGTAGGGTGTAAGCCTCTTTGTGGACACACCTTGATCTGCAAAGGACACCACTGGTTCAGCGCCGGCACACAGCAGCATAAGGCAATGGGGAAAAGAAGGACCATGAAGCACGTGCGGAGATGTGCAGAGATGTGGGGACCTGGGTTTTGGGTTTTGGGTTTCGAACTTAGGGGTTATGGGAACTTAACATAAGGAACCCTCTGACACCGGAGCATGCCCACACATGGCGCCTGATGAGCATGACACGTTCCGAGTGCGGTAGCCCTGGCCACACATGGTGCTGCAGGAGCTCCACCTGAGATTCTCAGCTCCTCAAGCCTGAACTCAAAACCCTAAGCCCAACACACCAAACCCTTCAAAACCTCGGTTCACAACATGCTCAGCGGCGCATCATCGTGGTGGGAAGCTTCTTCTGGAACATAGAAACCAGACCCTAAACCCCTAACCCCATGCTAAACCTTACCAAAAAGGTTGCAAGCCAAGAGGTACCTACTCTACTACTAAGACTCAGAAACCCCCTAAACCCCAAACCCTAAACCCTCAACCCCAAACTCCAAATCCTAAACCCTAAACCCTAAATCCCTAAACCCTAAACCCTAAACCCTAAACTGCCGAGAGTTCCGGGGCCGGCACTCTTCCTCGACCCAGCTGCAGGCTGACGTCTCATGGCAGACCTCCTGCGAGTCGGGGCGCCCCCGCCCGCAGTCCTCCTGGCGTCGGGGTTTGGGGGTTTAGGGCTGCAGGGTTTAGGGTTTAGGGTTTAGGGTTTAGGGTTTAGGGGTTTAGGGGTTTAGGGGTTTAGGGGTTTAGGGGTTTAGGGGTTCGGGGTGGTTTAGGGGTTGAGGGGTTTAGGGGTTTAGGGGTTTAGGGGTTTAGTAGGGTTTGAGGGGTTTAGGTTTTAGGGTTTAGAGTCTCGCGGTTCTTGGGCTTCTTGGGCTTCAAGGTTGGGGTTTAGGGTCTGTGGGCTTCTCGGGAAGAGGGCTTCAGGATTTAGGGCCTCTGCGCCTTTGGTCTTGAAGGATTTCGGGTTGCTAGGGTGTAGGGCGTAGGGTTTAGGGTTTAGGGTTTGGGGTTTGGGGTTTGGGGTTTGGGTTTTGGGGTTTGGGGTTCCAATTCCAGGCTTTAGGGTTGAGGGCTTCAGGGAGGAATTTGCTTAAGGTTCCTGGGCTTATGGTTTAGGGGTTAGGGTTTAGGATTCAGAATTTCGAGTTTAGGGATTTGGGTTTTTTTTTTTTGTTGGGGGGGGGGGGGGGGGGGGGGGGGGGGGGGGGGCGGGGGGTGCGGGTACGGTGCAGGCTTTGGCGTCGTAGGACCTTAGGACCCTATGGCTTGAGGGCTTTAGGATTGTGCAGAGTTCTAGGGTTTCTTGTTTGCTGTTGAAGTCTGGAGCTTCGGGATGTCGAGGGTTGAGACCCTAAACCCTGAAACTTGAGCACAGACCCTCGGCCCTGCAAGACCCTGAAAGCCGTAAACTCTAAACCCCTCAGGGCCCGCTCCCCTCCCCTAAGACAACAAACTCAGCGCAGGGAAGCTCCCTTTGGCGGTTCCTTTGGGCTTGGGGGTTTTGGGGCGTTAATGGTTTGGGGCTAGGGTTTAGGGTTTAGGGTTTAGGGTTTAGGGTTTAGGGTTTAGGGTTTAGGGTTTAGGGTTTAGGGTTTAGGGTTTAGGGTTTAGGGTTTAGGGTTTAGGGTTTAGGATGGTTGAAGACATGTTCAGTCCTCCGATGGGCCAGAGCATGTCCTGGGCAAAGAGTTGCGCGGCAGAAGCAGGAACTAGGCAACCCTAAGCCCAACGCCTAAACCTAAACCGAAAGCCCCTAAACCCTCAACCCTAAACCATAAACCCTCAACCATTTTCCCTAAACTCTCTCAGATCCCAAAATCCCGTACTCAAAGCCCCCCCGAAGACAAAACAGAACTTAACCCCAAAACCTTAAGCACCCAGCAGCCCGCTCGATGCCTCTGAGAGCCCGAGCATGCTCTCAAGCGGGTTTAGAGTTTAGAGTTTAGGGTTTAGGCTTTAGGGTTGAGGGTTTAGGGTTGAGGGTTTAGGCTTTGGGTTTAGGCTTAGGGCTTAGGGCTTTAAGGGTGCAGAGTTAGGGTAGAGTTGTTTAGGGTTTCAGGGCTCAGGGTGTGGGCCTATTAGGTTCTAGCAATCAGTGTTTTGGGATTGTGGGCTTCAAGGGTCTTGCTGTCAGGGTCTAGGCTTCAGAGTCTCAGGGCTCAGGGTTCAGGGGTCGGGTCTTACTTAGGGAACCCCTCAGCCCCCAGCGCCTTAGGGGCTTCCCGAAACCGAAGTTTAGGGACTCGAGGAGAACACTCAGGCCGCCGCACTGCTCGCTCCCGCGTGCCATAGCCGCACCTCAGTAGCTTAAACCCTAAACCCCTAACCCCAAACCTGAACCTACCTGAACCCTAAACCCCAATAGGCTTCCGGGGGATGAGGGGCTTTAGGGATTAGGGTTTAGGGTTAGGGTATAGGGGCCCAGGGTGGGCTTAGGGCAGTTCAGGGACTCAGGGTTCTAGGGGCTTGGGGTGTAGGGTTTAGGGTGTGGGGTTTAGGGTGTAGGGTCCAGGGTTTAGGGTACCCTAAACGACCCCAACCTGGGAGCCTATACCCCCAACCCTAACGACGCAAAGGCCAACAGGCTAAAGTGCCCTAAACCCCACCCTAAACCCTAAACCCTAAACCCTAAACCCTAAACCCTAAACCCCTAAACCCTAAACCCCTAAACTCTCCGTGGGCAAGAAGGCCCTGACTGACTGCTGCAAGCGGTCCAGTTTGATGCCATCCACATACAACCTGCTGTGGCCTTGGCGGTGGAGTTGAAAAGGTTTGGGGTTTAGGGTTTAGGGTTTAGGGTTTAGGGTTTAGGGTTTGGGCTTAGGGCAGAGGGTTTAGGGTTTGGAGCATAGGGTTGGGGCGAAAGACTCTGACAGCAAGTACGATCGCAGAAGCAGAGCATGTTGATTATAAATTAAAGCATGCAAGTAGACAGATATGTTGGGCGCAAACTGGGCACATCGTCGGATAAAACCTGTAAGACAGATAAGGTAGGCAAGATATGTAGGGGTGGATAAGACAGACGAGATTGAATGATAGACCAGACAAGCGACACTGAGGAGATGAGCAAGATAAGTAGATGTAAGCATAAACAGGTAGACCGACAAGGAGACAGATGGATAGGTAGACAGACAGATAGGTGGAAAAGTGGATGAAGTGAGATGAACCAGGCATGCAATTGGATACTGCCGTTCATTTACCCTAAACCCTTTGTAAATCCTGAGCCCTAGAACCCTAGATGCCTCCAATTCTATGACGTTCCCGGCCACGACCATTCCAACACCGAAAGAGAGAAAGATACAGATAGACAGATAGACACTTATAAATATATATATACCTTATGATGGTTGGCCTCCTCTTGCATCTCAACCGTCATCGGTTCATAATTTCAACCCATGGGCTCATTTTAAGTGGGACGCGAGAGCAAAAAATCCACAAGCCCAGGTCCCGCCCCTCGGTTTTTTTTTGTCTGCATCTGTCCCCCCCCCCCCCCCCCCCCCCCCAGCCCTATCGAACTCTCTAGTCCTCTACCTGTGCTGCGACCACCCAAGCTTGATGCTTCGGTTTAACTCACTCCAGCTGAAGTTCTGGGGGCGGCAAGTGTTCGTACACGCCCACGACGTCCGGTGCGTCATAATCATCCACAACACCGACGTACAGCGATCTGTCCTGAACCAGAAGCGCCACAGGGAACAATGAGTCCGGACACTGAAAGGTTTGGCTGCAAGTTGTGTCTCCTGGACGGACAGCAAACACCTTCCCAGCATCATGATCTGAAACATAGATGGTGTCATCTTCGGTTACGAAGAGGTTCCAAAGATTCCGAAGCACACCGGCAACACCGCCGCCTGTGTATAGCGGGATTTGTCCTACCACAATAGGTTTCAGCGACTCAGATGGATTGATGCGTAGAATCCGCCTTTGCTGGAACAGACAATCAAAGATATAGATCACCTCATCCTTGGTTACAAAAATTGCCGTCGCCCTAAACTGCAGGTCTTCCGGAAGACTCTCAGAGGCAATCACCGTCTGGAGCGTCGAGCCCACCAACTTCCACACTTGACTCCGCCCCTCATTGTGTTCCTCCACCACCCAATAGAGCACTCCGCTAGGCGAGCAGGACAGACATCTAGGAGTGGAAAGATCGCCACAGACCAAATGTCCGCATCCGTCTTGGAATCGAACAAGTCTATCTTTCTCGAAATCCAGGACGAAGATCTCCCCACTGGGAGAGACAGAAACGTCACAAGAAGACCCCATGTCATTGGTTCCTGTTGTTCCTACGCCCCCACCCACAACCTTTCGTACGCTGGTCGCTGGATCACCAGGGTGCCAACAAAGGACGTTACCTTCAAAGTCAGTGGCATAGATGTGACCTCGGTGCCAGGACAAGGAGTGGCATTGTATGGGCAACACTTTGCGCCAGCAAGCTGCAGCACTGGCACCCAAACCCGGGGACCAATGCTTGAGACACCGCCTCTTCGGCTGAAAGTCAAGTGAATTTGGGGTACTTTGCGCTCGCTTCCGTTGCCGCTGCAAAGCTTCATCAACGTTTCGGTGCAGTTCCTCGGCAGCTGGGCCGGATAGAGTGAAGCGGCCGACTCGAAGCAAGTTATCAGCAGAGAACGATTCGAAGTCCACATGCTGCAGCAGCATGCCCAACAAGCCATGCCTCTCTTTGGAGAAGCTGAACCAGTTGAAGATGCCCTTGAACACAACCTCCTCCCTGGACACCTTTAGATCTTCTCTTTTCAAAATTCTAGCCAACTGAATGGCACTTATCTTCCCGAAGTCGGGATGCTGGCTGCAAGTCTCAAACGACTCCGCAACTTTCTCCTCGCATGTGGCTTTCAAACCATGGAGGCCATGCGCCTCTTGTAGAACTCGCAAGGCTTTCACACCATCCAAGGAGAGAAGCAGGCCAGCCTCGATAGCACGAGCCAACTTTGGCAAGTCATAAGCCTCCGCCAGGTGTAGAAGTTCAAGGCCAGTTTCCAGGTCGATTTTAGGCTGACCACCATAGATGTAGTCAAGCAAGGCGGACACTGATGCCTTGGAAGCCGGGATTTCCACTGGCTGCTTTCGCTGTACCTGGTTCGCTTCCAGAAACGATCCACCCAGAAGATTCCTAAAAACCACGCTGGCTGCAGACAGCAGGGCTGTGTGGGCGCAGTGCTCAACACCATCGTTGCCCTTCAGTACAACGTCACAGAGATGATTTTCCATCCAAAAGTTGCGCATCTGCTGCACGATGCTGGACTGATGCTGCGCCAGGTTCGCGTGTTCAAGCTCTACAGTCTCTATAGCTTCCATGGCGCCGCCACTTGCAAGGCAGGTGACTGTCACCCCTCGGTCGAAACTTCTGTTGAGGTGCTTGGTTCATCTTGACGCCAATCAAGCCCCTCTGTTCACTATCACTGGTACCACTACCTTTTGGTTGCTGACAAGCAACGACTTGTACCCTTCACCCAACTCAGCTTTTCTTGACAGATCCCGGTGTCAGTTTGAACATCATGAAGAAGCGCATCAAAGATAAGGTCAAGCTTGCAATGCCTTTCAGCACGGGCTTAGGGTACTCCATAGGGTTTACTTAGGGTTTAGCGCTTAGGACTGAAGTTGCACAGCTCCGGGCGTAGCAGTGCCGGTACGTGGAGGGCAGAGCACCGCAGTGCGATTCCTCAGCAACTTCACTTCCATGCCATGCCTACCTCTATCATTTCTCATACAGTCATACTGGTACCCCTGAACCCTAAACCCCTTTTCTCCTGCCATATACCTGCTATATTCCTGGGGTTCCCTTTCCGGGGTTCCCGTCTCCTTTACAGTGGCCGTAGCTATGACTCGCAGAACAGACTCAACCCCTTGCATGTTTTCAAGAAAGGCACCCGTTGTAAATTTCTTTCGTAAGACAACCCTTTTGAAACGGACCCAACGATGACGTTGATCCAGAACAAGCCCATGTCAGTTGCCAAGATCAAAACCGCTCTTCTGAAAGCGCTTGATGAACCATAAACCTTGGGATGTGCCCCCCTTATACTAACAGTCCTTAATAGGGATCATAATCGGGGGTACTAGAACCCCGATTAAGGGCTGTTAGTATAAGGGGGAACATCCCAACATAAACCCATCCCTCAACCCAGCATTGAGATGTCACCATGTAAGCCCTAAACCCTAAACCCTAAACCCTAAAGCCTAAACCCTAAACGAATCCCACGGCCCATCCCGCTGCAGCTGCCGCTCCCTGCTGCTCCCCACACTTCTCGCTCTCCATTCCGCAAGATGCGTAAACACCTTTGCCCTTAATCCTACAAGATGTCCTGCAACCCGAAACCCTAAACCCTAAACCCTAAACCCTAAACCCTCAACCCTCAACCCTCAACCCTCAGCCCTAACCCTAAACCCTAAACCCTATCCCTGGCATCTCACGAACTCCGGGGCTTTGGCATTGCCTGTGGGGCAGGTCCATTGTAGCTCCTCGATCCCCGTCCCGCACCTGAGCGCTTCAGGCGTTTGTCTGTTATTAAGTTTAGGGTTTAGGGTTTAGGGTTTAGGGTTTCGGGTTTGGGGTTTAGGGTTTAGGGTTTAGGGTTTAGGGTTTAGGGTTTAGGGTTTAGGGTTTAGGGTTTAGGGTTTAGGGTTTAGGGTTTAGGGTTTTGAGCTTTATGGAGTTTAGGGCTTACGGTGCCTGTTTTTGCGATGTTTCAGTGATCTCGTTTTTCTTAAATTGCTTAGGGTCCCCCCCCCCCCCCCCCCCCCCAAACCCCCAACCCCTAAGCCCCTAAGCCCCTAAACACCTAAACCCTAAACCCTAAACCCTAATGTATTTCGTTGTTCAGAGCTAGGGTTGCCAAGGGCTTTTGGAGGTTTAGGAAGTTCAGGGCTTGCGGATGTTCCACTTTTCGGGGGGAGTGCATTGATTCAGGGTTGCTAGGGCTTCTATCAGTTTAGGGCTTAGTGTTTAGGTTTAGAGTTCAAGGTTCAGGGTTTAGGGTGGAGTGCATCGACCGGACGGGACAGGAACCTCAAAGAGGCTGGCCAAAGACTACGAGCCACAGCGGAGATGGGAGAAGCGCAGAATCACTGAACCCTAATTCAGAAGCCCTCAACCCCCCAGCCCTAAGCCCTAAACCCCCAAGCCCTGAACCCTAAACCCCTTGTGATTCCAGTAAGGCAAGGGCGTCGCGTTGCACTGCGTCCAGGAACTGAGAACCTAGGCGCTGTGGACTCTCGGGGGGCTCAGTGTGTGAGATGAGGTTTGTTTTGTTTAGGGAGTCTGGGGCTTTAGGGACTGGGGTTTCGGGTTTAGGCTTTAGGGTTGGGGGTTTTTGGGTTTAGGGTTTAGGGATTAGGGTTGCCAGGTCAGGGTCAGGTGCTTTCAGTGCTTCGGGTTCAGGCAAACCTCCCCTACACCCTCAAAGTCTCAAGCTCCTCCTCCTCCTCCCCTCTCCCCTCTCCCCTCCCCTCCTCCCCCTCCCTCCTATGTCTATGTCCCATAAACCCTGAACCCTAAACCCTGTTCTACCCCTGAACACCTGCAACCCTAAACCCTTAACCCTCAACCCTAAACCCTAAACCCTAAACCCTAAACCCCCTACAACCCCAGAGCGCCCCACCCAGCTACAGCTTTCCGTGGCAAAGCAAAGCTCCGCGGTGTCAGGCATCGGCTTGGGGCAGTCCTGGCTTCGTAGGGGTTTCGAGGGTTTCGAGGGTTTCGAGGGTTTAGGGTTTAGGGTTTAGGGTTTAGGGTTTAGGGGTTTAGGGGTTTAGGGGTTTAGGGGTTTAGGGGTTTAGGGGTTTAGGGGTTTAGGGGTTTAGGGGTTTAGGGGTTTAGGGGTTTAGGGGTTTAGGGGTTTAGGGGTTTAGGGGGTTAGGGGGTTAGGGGTTTAGGGGTTTAGGGGTTTAGGGGTTTAGGGGTTTAGGGGTTTAGGGGTTTAGGGGTTTAGGGGTTTAGGGGTTTAGGGGTTTAGGGTTCAGACATTGAGGGTCTAAGCGTTGAGGGGTTTAGGGGTTTAAGGGTCTAGGGAGATAGGGGCCAGAGTTGGGGCTTCGGGGTTTACGGATTGAGGGTTGAAGGGTTTAGGGGTTAAAGGGTTTAGGGATTTGGGCTTAGGGGTTTACGGGTTGAGTGTTTACTGGTTTAGGGGTTTCGGGGTTTAAGGGTTTAGGGGTTTAGAGGTTTAGGGGTTTAGGGGTTTAGGGGTTTAGGGTTCGGGCTTCGGGCTTCGGGCTTCGGGCTTCGGGTTAAGGGTTTAGGGGTGTAGAGTGTGGGGGCTTAAGGGTTTAAGGGTTTGGGGGTTTGGGTTCGGGAGTTTAGGGTTTAAGGGTTTGGGGCTTACGGTTCAGGGTTTGGCTTCTTGGGGCTTTCGAGTCTAGGTCGCTTTGGGGTGTAGCTGGGATTGAGGACTGCCTTGGAACAAAGCTCCCGCTGAAGGGGCGAACTCTGATTAGGGTTTGGGGTGCAGGGTGTACTTCGAGTGTGCTATCACCTGACATCATGGACCTCCGCGGCAACTGCGTTTAGAAGAACAATAGATGCTGCGTCCTCCATGACGCCGCTCGGGCAGGACACGGATCGCGTCCTGTGTGTTCCATGACATGCGTGAAAACGAGCCTACCTGAGTCTACCTTGTCTGCTGCAGCGGCAAACCCCAAACCCTAAACCCTAATCCTTGCATGAAGGGGTCCATCCTTGACTAAGCAGCGAGCGCCACACAGCAGTGCACAAGATCACAGCAGCTGCGAGCTCTGCGGTCCGTGTGCCCTCGCCACAGCCCGTCGAGCACTCCGACCTCGTTTGCCGCTTGTGAATCGCAAGAGATATAGCAGTGCACATTCTTGTTGTAGATCATAGTAGTCTGCTAGTATTGACATGTGCTACTACTATACCGATGTATTTCCATGTTAGTCCATTCGTATATGCTTGTACTGTTGAAGTGGCGAACACACCCGAGCTAACACTCCACCTGCTCTTGGCGCGGCACCATGCACCCAGCTCCCAAAGGCAGCCATAGACGGAGCACCCCCCAAGGCTGGCGCAGATCAATTTACGAAACTGGTATAACATGCGTGCTTACATATATATATATATGTATGTACAATAAGTATGTGTATATATATATATATGAATTTGTACAATACAGTATGATATATTGTAATGTAATTCATGTGCACATATACACAGTATTCCAAGCCTCTTGCTGTCTTTATGCAAAATCTGGCTGACCTGTATAAGCAAGAAAACCATCCCGAATTCTAACTACCGAAACCCGAAGCCCTAAGCCCTAAACCCTAAACCCTAAACCCTAAACAGCCCCACGTAACCTAAGAAGCACCTCTTGTCCGCAGCGGCGGTGACGTCGTTGGCACCAGCCTGTCGTGGTGGACACTGGGTTCAGCTAGGTAACGACGTCAGGATTCAGGGGCGTTGGGTTGAGTGCTTTAGGGTTGAGTGCTTTAGGGTTTAGGGTTTAGGGTTTAGGGTTCAGGGTTCAGGGTTTAGGGTTTAGGGTTTAGGGTTTAGGGTTTAGGGTCTTAGGGTTTGAAAATTCTCGGGTTTAGGGATATTTCCTACATGTTCATGCCTGAAACGAGTGCAACGACCGGCACAACCGCTGTGATCAACATCGCAAGCAGTATCTCGACTAACTCTGGCAGCTTGGTTCTTATTGTGCTATGGCCACCACTCCAAAAGGTATAGCGCCGTCGCTTCCGGTCTCGTTCGTGCCGATGCTTTCCTGCAGCCCTGGTTTTCCATGGCGCGACGCTCTCTGAGCAACTGAGACCATACCACGCCTCAGACATCACCAGCAATGCCTAGAGTCACGGCCTCCCGCTTGTCATGTCTGACAGTCCGAACTCGGCCAGCGGCAAGGCCTTCCCCAGTTTATCTGTCACGCACACAGGAAACTGCGGCCAGCGCCGCCAGGACATCGGGTGCTCAGAATCCCGAGAAGGCGCCTTCCTCGCAAGGGGCAGGTAGTAGCTGTCGAACTGCCAATATCGCTCCGCCACCCCGTGCCAGGTCTGGTCTCCCAGCTCACCCAACTCAATCTTACCTTGGTAGCCCAGTAACCATATCATAAAAAGGGCACCCTTTTTGGGGTTTGTTACTTTCTAAGGAAACCCAGAACAAAAAAAAATAAGGGTACCACTGGGCAACCAAGTTACAGATATCACACGGAAGGCCCAGGGTCTCGAGATCCTCCTGTGCCAGCCGGCAGAAGGCCGCATGCTCGGCGATGCTGTAGGGCGCCATGCCATTGAAAAACGAGAAGCGTCCTCCCGGCGCCAGGAGTCGGGAGACTTCGTCCTGAAACTGGCGAAGGTCCTCATAAGTCTCCGACCACGTGTCGAAAAAGATGGCATCTAAGGAGCCACTCTCAAGCCTTGGTACCCCCCAGTAACCAGATTACAACAAGGGCACCCTGCTTTGGTTGGTTAATTCATAAGGGAACCTTGAACCAAACCAAAAAAAAAGGAAAAAGGGTCACCACTGGGCTACCAAGAAGCTGGGGAACGATCTCCTGCCAGCGGCCTTCGTGCACCGCCACCCCAGGCCGCGAGGGCCACCCACAGCGCCTCAGCTCCGCCAGCACGTCCCCGTGCGACTCGATGATGTGATGCTCGCTTGGCCCAAGCTCTGCCTCTACTCCCCCTTAGAGAACCTGAAGAAAAAATGATATATTTTCAATATCCTCTTGGGTTTTTATATAAACAAAAATAGAGAATATCCTCTACTTGGGTTTTATAGAAACAAAAACTAGAAAATAGTTCCCAAGGGGGAGATAGCTGCCAGAAAGCCATCCACGAGCCCCAGGCCGAAGCCGACGTTGGCCACCCGCAGGCCTCGCACCGGGAGGAGGACCTCGGCATGCTTCTTCATCAAGGGGGCCTCCCAGCCCATCATCCTTACTTCTCCATAAAAAACCACGGGGAAAAAGAGGTTAACCTTAATTACTCCTACTAAACAAAGGGGACCCAAAAAGTTTAGGTTAACCTTAATTATTGCTGCGAAAATATGGAGACCCAAAAAGCTTTAAAGTTTAACTACTGGCTGAGTAAGCATCACCGCCTTCGAGTCGGCATCCAGAAGCCGGCTGCCCTCGTAGCGCAAGCGCTGGCTGTGGTAGGGATCTGGGGCGGCCGGGTCGGGTGCCCGACGCTTGCGAGGCGGCTCTTGCGGCGCCTGGCGGGAGACATAGTCAAGTATTAACCCCCCACCCTCCCCCCCAAACCAGGGACCTGCTAGCTGCAACGCAGAGACGAGTACTTGTCATATACTTTGGGCGATTCTTGCGGGGGAGGAGGATCGCGCAATGCTACACATACTGGTGCCCTTCCAAACCCCAGTCACCCGACAACAGAGCAAAAACGGCAACCTGGCTGGGCGAAGCTTTAGGGTTCAAGCTGAGGGTTTAGGGTTTAGTGTTTAGGGTTTAGGGTTTAGGGTTTAGGGTCACCTCCTCTTCTTCACGTCTGATGCAGAACACCCGGTGCAGAACCAGAGCTTCAAAAACGGCCCTCGGTGGAAGGCGGGCAAAGTGGAGAACGGGGTTCGGGTCGTTGTGGTACCTTAAGGGAGGATGGTTAGGGTTTGGGGTTTCGAGTCATGGGTGTAAAGAGTTTCTAGGAAAAAAAACACTACGAGAGGTTGGATACCCTCACTAGCCAGAAAGAACAAACCAGAAAGAGGCATTGACAAAAAGTTATAGCTTACCAAATGGCTGATGTAAAACTTTGTTTTTTTTGCCAATATCCATAATGAAACCCTAAACCCTAAACCCTAAACCCTGGACCCATAATGAAACCCTAAACCCTAAACCCTGGAGGAGGGCTGGGGTCTTTGCGAAGAAGGAACCCCAATATAAACCCCCCAAATGGTGGGACTCCCTTTTAATAATTAATTACCCCCATAAGGCACCCCTACTTTCGGAAGCCCCCATATAGGATGAGTCGCTGCTTGCCCGCACGAAAGGCCAGATCGCCAGCAGTCGCCTCCTCTGGGGGGCTTTACAAACATCGGGGACCCCCAAAAATAGATCCCCCAAATCAGTAGGATCCCCGTATAATAGAACGACCCTAATAAATTCCCCCCCGAACTTCGGAAACCCTCCTCTTGGTTCCGGAGGTTCGCGCTCGCGCCGCGCTCGAGGAGCAGAGCCGTGGCCTGGAGAGCGCCAGCCGAAGCCGCCCGGTGCAGCAAGCTGTTGCCAGTGCTGTCGCTCTGCACGAGGAGCTCGGGCCACGATTCCAAGGACTCCTCAAGACGCTTCGCATCATCCGCAAGTAGGGCGGCTAGAGACTCTTCCCATCTCTTCTGCGCGTCCAGGGCCGACGGCCGCGGCTTCCTCTTGAGGTCCAGAACCAGCGACGCCAGATCCTCCAAGCCCCTGCTACCCTGAAGCACCCGCACCGGGGCACCTGCAGAGATGGCCGCAAAAGCCATGCCACTTGCGGCAGCCAGCTTCCTCTCCTTGCTGAATGCCTCCGGATCTCTCGGCGACTCTCCCAAAACCAGGACAGCTTGGAGCTGGCTTGCGGTGGCCGGGATTGCCTCTAATGTCTCTAGCGACTCCAAACCTTCCACGGCCGCTGCGACGGCACAGCCCCGACTCACCAGGACCCGCCTCAAGCGCACGGCGGCCTCGGCGTAGGCCGCCGAGGCCAGGATGGCCAGCGCGTCCACGCGGCTCAGGAGCGACAAGAGCTCTTGATACTGGCTCATGAGGGTCGAAGAGTCCAAGGTTCTTCAAGTTCTTAGGGTTCTTCGGGCTTCGGGCTGCTTTTTGAGCCAGCTCGCTCGCAAGGAACACGCAGCAAAGCGAGGACATCCTGGCCTGAGGGTTCGGGTCCTGTTTGCAAGCAACCACAAGACTCTCCCAGAAGACCTGAACCCCATTGCGGTTCCTGTTTGAAACCAATTGTGGTTGAACACCGGCCCCTTGCAAATCTGAAGCAACCCTGCAGCAGCAAACCGGCCTGTGACGAAGACGCCGAAGCCTGTGCAACGGCAGGTTGTCTCAGCACCGGGAAATTGTGTGCAGACACTAGCTAACACTATACTCCCCTTAGAACCTTAATACTCCCCTGAGAACCTTAATAAACCTAATGTTCTTAATACCCTCTTGGGTTTCATATAAAAACAAAAAATACTTCCCAAGCGGGATATAGAAGAGGGAGCTCCCGCACAGAATTGTACCCTTCTACCACTCTCGGGCAAACTCTCACCAGACAACTGAACCTAGCGCTTGCCTGGCTGTCGTTGGACGTGTTGCCATAGGAGCTGTTTTCAAGCTCGTCCATGTCGGTGTCATTGTCGTCCGAACTATTCATCTCTGAGTCATTCATCGGAGTCTGGTTCATCTCGGCTTGGTCCATCCCTGGCATGCTCAGGCCAGCCATACTCTCGTTCATCCCGGTCATGTTCATCTCGGACATGTTCATCTCAGGCATCATCGGCTCAGACATGTTGGCTGCGGACATGTTCATGCCCATGTCCATCTCCATCCCCCCCATGACGGAATGATTCGTCGTCACATTTTCCATGCTGTAGTTCGATTCCCACCACTGCTCCAACTCCTGCGTACACCCGGCAAGAACTTTTCACGGGCCGCTGTCAACGAAACACCTTGAAGGGCTAAACCTCCCGAACACTAAGTTCACTAAGCCTTCTTCGCTTTCTTGATAGTCTCTGATAGTCACATGCCGCATGCAGACTGTTGCAGCAACATGCTCGCACAGAGACTTTTGGGGATTTCCGAAGTTAAGGGTACCTTATTGGGGTCCTTAGTATCACAAGGGGATCCTACTTTTTGGGGATCTATATTGGGGGGGGGGGGGGGGGTCCCCTACTTTCGTAAACCCACTTCTGGGTTTAGGCTTAGACTTCGGGTATAGGGTGTAATGGGCTCCTCCATCTCGCTCATGTTGCTGCTGTTCGACATGTTGGGGCCTTCCTTGTCAACCTTTGCAGTGGCTACAAGCAGCACCCTTTAAAACCTGCAAGGAGGTCGACCTACCGTGAGATGTGTGTTGAAATGACGAGAAAGCTCAGTGCCGGTTGGTAAAGCGCCTACTTGCGACAGGCGGCTGGGCACTATTGACCTTTAACAGGCTCCCATCTTTTGCCGAAGGCAATGGAGCCGTAAACAAAGCACTCTTATGAGCTCTGCACAGTTTCCCGATACCAAAAGCCCCACATCGTCTCTAAGAATTTTGCAGCTTAGCTTTGCCCACGTGCACAACAAGAACCTTCTTCACAGCACACATGCTCACACATCCAGGTCCCAAGGATTTGTAACCTGAACCCCAAACCCCCTTAAACCAAAACCCAAAACCCAAAACCCCAATCCAGGCCGTAAAACCCCAAAACCCCTAAACCCCAAACCCTCAACCCCAAAACCCCAAAACCCCGCACCCCGAAATCCCAACACCATCTACTATAGGGGCCTTACGAATTAGAATAGGTTATTATAGTATTCTTATAACGCCACCTAAGGGAATACTATTTGTAATAATTCCGACCCTTATAATACCCCTAGAACCCTCCCAGCCATTCCAAACTCCGGCCTGGAGGATGCTGCTCTCCGCCTGGCGTGCCGGAGGGGGCGCAGGAGGGAGGGGTTCATGGAACTCCGTCGCTTAGGGTTCAGTTTTTGGGGTTTAGGGATTAGGGCTTGGGGTTTTGGGGTTTGGGGTTAGGGGTTTAGGGTTTAGGGTTTGGGGGGAGGATTTGGGGCTCAGGTTTCAGGAACCCTGCACGAGCAGACCACACACCCCCAACTGCCCAAGGGACAAGGGCATGTCTTCTGCCAGCCCCTTGCGTCTTTGTGCTATATGGCACCTTGCTACCCTTTGGGGGGAGGAACCAAGCCCAAACCCTAAACCCCAAACCCTAAACCCTAAACGCCAAACCCTAAACCCAGACCCCCAAACCCTAAACCCCAAACCCTAAACCCGATGCTTCGTTTAGAGAACTGGGCCCCAGACCTTCAGCCCAATTCACTTGCCAACTCTCAATGGGGCAGTTCGGGTTTGGGATCTGGGGTGTAGGGTTCAGGGTTCAGGGTTCAGGGTTCAGGATTCAGGGTTCAGGGTTCAGGGTTCAGGGTTCAGGGTCAAGGGTTCAGGGTTCAGGGTTCAGGGTTCAGGGTTTAGGGTTTAGGGTTTAGGGTTTAGGGCCCTACAGCCCCCAAACCACCTCCTCTCCCCCAACAGCCCTAGACCCTAAGCCCTATGCCCTAAACCCTAAACCCTAAACCCTAAACCCCAAACCCTAAACCCTAAACCCTAAACCCTAAACCCAAACGCCCCGCCTCCCAGGCCGGCAGCGTGAAGTTCACCCATGGCGCCTCGAGCTCCCCAGTGCAGAGCTCCTGGACCTGGGCTTAGAGGCTTTGTGGGTTTGTGGGGCAGGGGGAGGGGGGGAATGTTCCTAAACCTAAACCGTAAACCCTAAACCCTAAACCCTAAGCCCTAAACCCTAAACACTAAACCCTAAACCCTAAACCCTAAAAACCCAAACCCTAAACCCTAAACCCGAAACCGTAAGCCCCTGGCGCTTTATGGCGCTGCCGGAATTTAGCATTTGAGGTTCCGATACGCAATTCGACGGAGCGTTACCAGAGACTCCACCCATTCATTAAGGAATATTCGGGAGGGGTTTAGGGTTTGGGCTTTGGGTTTAATGTTTAGGGTTTCTGGGCTTGCCATGGAGCAAAATACGGGCTGCGAGGGCGCCCTCGTGACACGCGGAAGAGGGCAAAGAAGCTGGGCAGTCACAGGGTTCAGGGTTTAGGGTTCAGGGTCCACGGCCTAAACCCTAAACCCTAAACCCTAAACCCTAAACCCTTGAGGCGCGTGCCCTCATCCAGTATTGGGCGTCCTCATCCAGCATGCTCACATCGATGTGGCACCTTGGCCGCAGGCAAACCATGCCCGCGCAGAGAGAGGAACCCTAAACCCTAAACCCTAAACCCTAAACCCCAAACCCTAAACCCTAAACGAGACCCGACTGCGTAAGCCACAAACGTCTTTCACCCTAAACTGCTGTTTGTTTAAGAACCCTACATAAACGCACAATGGCAATGCCCACATTGCCCTGATTTTTTTCACACCCTTAAGATTGACAACCCTAAACCCAACTGCTGCGCTGCAGATCGGGCCGGGTGCCGTGCTGCTGGGGGGTTCGTGCTCCAGGAACCCGGTCGCAGAGCGCCACAAAATGCCTCAGGGCCAACTTGGCGGCTTCTAGGGAGGGCTTTGGGTTTAGGGTTTAGGCTTGGGTTTAGGGCTTTGGGTTAGGAGGATAGACGCGTCCTTATCAGCGGCGCCCCTTCTGTCTGCAAGCCTCCTGCGCTACTGTCGACTCCTGGGTCCTACTTGGCTACATCAGCGACTGGGTAGATTCTATCTGCCCATGATCTCTACGTTGTTTGGCAGGGTGAAGCCGGCCGATCTGTTCGTCACTGAGTCGCCCTTCAACTTACTGGGATCTCCTTTCGGCGTATCTTGGTTCCGTGGCGACCTCTTCGCAACCCCCCATGCATGCCTGATTTAGCTATTCATCCCACCTGCTGCCAAGGTAACATCTGACTAGGTCGGACGACAAAAGACCGTTCTCAAAAAACTTCTGTGTCGGGGTTGAGAGGAGACACATCAGCCATCACGAAACTGACCACTTGGAGGCATCAAGCCCCGCACCATGACTCATTGAAGTACTCGATCAGCCAATCTTGCGGCGGCACGGCTGGAACGGCTGGAGCACCCCTTTAAACCAAACATTCAAAGTTAATGAAAGCTCCACAAGCGACGGAAACGAACGCAGGTCCCCAAAGAACCCACCCTTGCATCACTCGCGAAAGACTGAAATTGTAGACCGTGAACCCTAAACCCGAAACCCTAAGCCCTCCAACTAGCGGTTTCGAAGGGGAGTCATCAGATTGATCCGTACGCGACACTCCAGCCTTCCGCGTTGCAGTCGCCTGGCCTGGGGAAGGGTTGAGGGTTTGGGGCTTCCGGCTTTGGAGCTGTTGGTTTTGGGGGGGTTTGGGAGGTTTGGGGAGTTCCTGCTGGGGTTCTGCATTTCGGGGCTGAGGGCGTCAGGTACGGAGGCCTTTGGGCAGACTGCACAGATCCGGACTGGTTTCTCCCAACTTAAACCCTAAACAAACCCTAAACCCTAAACCATAAACCCTAAACCCTAAACCCTTAACCCTAAACCCAAAATTCCCATTTCCAGGACTTCATGAGTCCCCGGCTCGTCTCCCGACATGAAGCTGATGTGGGCATGGGTCTCCGAGCGGAAGACCACCTGCACGCTCCTGCGGCTGAGAGGGAGAACACTCGCCAAAGTCTGGCCCAGCCTGCCTGTCCCTCGCTCGAGGGTTTAGGGTTTGGGGTTTAGGGCTTAGGGTTCAGGGTTCAGGGTTTAGGGTTTAGGGTTTA